ATAAAGGATAAGATGCCTAAAAGGTCATTTTTGCCCCGGGTGATTGCTGCGAAATTACCGTTTTCTACTGCAAAAATTGCTGAGCTGAAGAAAATCTTCCACGCCGGAGATGATTCTCAGGTGGAGAAGATGATCGGCGATGCATTGAGCGAGTGTGAAAGAGCACCGAGCGCCGGTGAGACGAAACAATGTGTTAACTCAGCTGAAGATATGATTGATTTCGCAACATCAGTGTTGGGTCGAAACGTCGTGGTTCGAACGACTGAGAATACAAAAGGGTCCAATGGAAATATCATGATAGGATCAGTCAAAGGAATCAACGGTGGAAAAGTTACCAAATCAGTATCTTGTCATCAGACGTTGTACCCTTACTTACTGTATTACTGTCATTCGGTTCCTAAAGTCCGGGTCTACGAAGCGGATATTTTAGACCCGAATTCAAAGGCTAAGATCAATCATGGTGTTGCGATTTGCCACGTGGATACTTCTTCATGGGGACCGACTCACGGAGCGTTCGTTGCACTCGGGTCGGGACCCGGGAAAATAGAGGTTTGTCATTGGATCTTTGAAAATGATATGACTTGGGCAACTGCTGATTGAGTGAGCCAAGAGAGAAAAAAAGGGTATTGAATAAATGTGCAAAATTTCTAATTCGGGTTGAACCGGGTGTGTTACAAGAAGAAGGAAAAAGGTACCACTGGTTTGACTTTTATAGTAATTATTATTATTAATCATTAATTATCATAGTCTTAATTTATATTTTGTGTAATTTTCGTGTAAGTTCCACTTTGCCTTCATTAAGTTTGAATGGCTATCAATTTACATTATTTGTCATGTAATCATTTTATTGTTGTCTCATATTTGGGCAAAGTGATGTAGTTATTGCTAGATGATTTGTGCTATTATTTAATCATACAAAAGAGAAAAATAGATTAACAATATGCACATTAGGGCTAAAACGCTCTTTAAAACAGACAAATCTATGTTGAACATGACTTGAACTCAAGACAATTGATTTCGTTGAGTCTTAAAAGGTACATTCTTGTCATCTATAAAAGTATAAAGTAGGTAAAAAAAAAAAGTTAACTTTGTGACAGAAATGTGATATGCCTCTTTTTGCCTGCTTTTTTTTTTCTCTTTCTTTTGGTTAACTAATTCTTTGTCCTCTAATTTTCTTCCTATAATAGTAACTTATAACTTCCGTTATTTGGATGTAAAATTGTTATTCTATAGGTTTATCTAACTAGCCCTAAGAAGTACTAATTTAAAATCGTCAAGCTTTTCCAAATCCGTTTTCTAGGGATTTTAGCTTTCATTATAGTGGTATAAAAACTTTATTCTAACCATGATTTTTTTTATCTTAAATTAACATATTTCTGAGTTCGATTCATCAAATTCATGGTGAAGTGTGTGGATTCTCGCTTTTTACAAAAAATGATTCCCTAATATATGGATAGGGAGTAATTTTATACGCTTGTGATGAAAGTTAAGTTTTCAAAGAAAACATTTATAATAACTAAATATCAGAAAATAACTTCCTTAAAAAACATATTTTTAAAAAGTAATTTTTGATATACCATATGGTAAAAAAGAGTATGGTCAATTTCAACATTAAATTAACCAGTGTAAGAGGTATGACTGCCTGCACAATATTCATTACATCCAATAAAAGAAAAATTGAACACACAACTACCTTCTACTAAATGTGCAGACTAATAAATCAAATCCATAGAATCAAAGAAGATGAAAATAACAAAATCTTAGCCACCTTCTTATTAGGAGATTTAGAGCCCGTTTGGATTGACTTAAAAAAAGTAACTTTTCAAAGTGCTGGAACTTATTTTAAAAATAAGTAGTTATGTGTTTGGATAAAAGTGTTGCAGTTGAAAAAAAAGTTGTTGATGTGTTTGGCAAATAAGTGCTGGTAAACACTTTTTTTATCAAAATGTCTGAAATACCCTTTAAGTTGTTAACATGATGAAAAGTTGATTAATTTAAGGTTTTTATACTTTAAAAAAAATTAAAACAAAATTAATTTATATTTATCCATAAGTAATAATATTTTCCTATTATTCACATATTTCTTTACCACCACAAATTATTTATAAGAGGAATAATAATAATAATAATAATATAATAATAATAATATAATAATAATATAATAATAATAATAATGATAATAATAAAATAATAATAATGATAATAATAAAATAATAATAATAATAATAATAATAAAATATCACATATTTCTTTACCACCACAAATTATTTATAAGAGGAATAATAATAATAATAAAATAATAATAATAATAATAATAATAATAATATAATAATAATAATAATAATAATATAATAATATAATAATAATAATAAAATAATAATAATAATAATAATGATAATAATAATAATATAATAATAATAATAAAATAATAATGATAATAATAAAATAATAATAATAATAATAATGATAATAATAAAATAATAATAATAATAATAAAATAATGATAATAATAAAATTAAAAAAAAATAATAATAATAATTAAATAAAATAAAATAATAATAATAAAATATTAATAATAATAATAAAATAATAATAATAATAATTCAATATTGGCAATTTGGAAATTGTATAAAAGAATTAAGGGCAAAAAAGTAATATACTTGGTCAACATAAAAGAGCTTTTAAGTTTAAAAAAAAAGAAGCTCCCCTCCCCTAGCTTTTAGCTTTTGGCTTAAAATAAGTCATTTTTGACTTAAAATAAGTCACATTGATAATTACCAAACACTCTAATAAGTCAAAAACTGGCTTTTAAACCAGTTTGACTAGCTTAAAAGCCCATCCAAACAGGCTCTTAGTATTATAACTTTACTTTTTATTTCATTTCAAAAAGAACGATATATTTTCTTAATTTTATCGATATTTAATGACATTATCAATATATTAGTTATGTTGGGTTTGGTTTATTTGACAAAAAAGTCCATATACTCTTTCTAAGGGTAGTTTTGAAATGTTGCGAAGTTCTTTCATATTTCGTAAATTTTGTAATCAGTCAAATTATATCACATAAATTGGGCTAGAGAAACTACAATTTTTATGATAAAAAAAATTGTAAAATATTTTTTTTTCAAAGTGAAAAATAATATGTGAAATTTTTTAGAGTTATTTTATTTAACTTATTCTTATCAATTTAAAGTGAAATTTTTTTATGGTGAAACACTCGACAAACTATGTATGACCCACCCAAATTTTAATAGGTAGGGCATTAAATGATGGTAAAAATGACCTAAATACACAATTTATTTTATTATATTCTCTAAAATTTTCTACCATTTAAAAAAATTACAAAAATTTTTACTGTCTCCTATTCTAGGATACATCACTTTACGCAATATATCGGTCGAATACATTACTTACACCATGTATCGGAACGTTAAGTAATGTATTCGAAACCAAAGACGCAATGTATCGAGCCGTTGAGGGATGTATATGAAATCGGAATGCGATGTATAAGAATGTTTTGGGATGTATCCGAATTCCACCAAATTTAAGAAATTTTGTTTAAAAAGAATAGCAATAGAACATAATTAGCTATTAAGTAAAATTCCCAAATGATTTTCATATGAGCTAATTTGGGCAACAATCCATTTTCATCTGTCATAGCCCAAATTAACCCGTAAAACCATGCCTAACGGATCATTAACTTATGATCCATTTTTTAACTCGTCGATTTATTAACTCAACTCATCTTGACCCGTTCAATTTCCGCCCCTTCTTACATCCATAGGAAGAAAAATCTCCCTGGCCTCAGTTGCAGGGCCTGCTGCCTTTCTATGTATGACTCTGCACTAATGAGAAAAAGATGGGAAGAATGATTGCTACTGAAAGCGAAATGCGAGTGTGTTGTCAAAAAAAAGCAAACTTAAGTAGACAACTGATGTATATCCAAACATTATTATGCGGATTCGTTTGATAGGAGAGATAAATGAATAATTAATTAAAAAAAGTTTATTTTATATTTAACTATCATAAAAATTATGAAATAATTTATCTTTATTCCACGTTAAAAATAAGATGATATCATATTAAAATTAATCTCGTGATAATTTGCTTTCGAACCAAATGAGCCGTCCTCTCCACTTCATAAAGTGCGTCAATAAAATGCCTGTCTGTTTCCCAATCAAAGAAAGCAGAATTGTACTCACCAAATTCATCTCCCATAATTAGCTGAAAATAAAAGAAACATTTATTAGTGAAATTTTCGCCCATTATTTCATTTCAAAATAATTTATATTTTTTTGTTGCAACTTTAGAGACCTTAAAATTATAATTAAAAATTCCTTTGACCAAATTTAAAATCTTATGATAGGGAATTTTTTTAAAAATTTCTTATCTGATATTTGATACCTATATTAGAGTCTTGATTAAATTAGGATTCACGCTAAGAAGTTTCATAATAAGGATATAATGCTTCCTAACAAATGCAACTACATACCTTTAGAAACTCGAAATCAAAAGTTCTAATTAAAAATAAAAAAAAATATTTGACTATTTGTCACTCTACCACAGTCCTTGTTTAATGGTTGGTCGCTCAATGCACCTTGTCATAGAATAGGAAGGATCTAAAATTCTAAATGGCACATAGCTCACAGAAGAAGGGATCCAAACTAAAATTATCCATTGACAAAAACAAATACTCTATTTATTTCAATTTTATACAATTTTAAGTATTTATTTATACATATTTAAAATTAAAAAAATGTAAATATTATTTAAATCCAAATTAAAAAATAGGTTTATATATTAACTTATTTAGATATTCAAGTCAAGAATTCTAGAACTAGTCAACATAAGTGTGTGAATAGTAGATCATTCTATTAGCTGTATGGCATGACAATGCCAATTTCCATCAGTACCTCCATTATCATTTATCATCATCATTATTATCATATCTACTACTATACTATACTACTATTTTATGCATTATATATCTATATACTTCCAACAAGAAATTATATCCCACAAACACAACATTCTCAAAAAAGAAATATTTAAAATCTTCACAAAGAAATGCATACAAACACTTTGCTTCTCTCTATTTTCCTACTTTTCAGTGTAAGTTGTCATGGTAGTTTAAGTTATTTTTTGTCTTTTCACTTTCCCAAGTTAGGTTGCTACTCATTTCTTTATAAACTAAAGTTAGATTTTTTTTATTACTCACTCTATTTTTGAGTAAGTGATAATTTAGCCTTTTTATTTATTCTTAAATACGTATTGTTTTAAATAATCACGAAAACATTAATGATGTTCTATCAATTATATCTTTCTTTAAATAAAGAAAGTTTTGCATAATGAGGAAACTACCTAATAGCTGCATCTTTATCAAGATATTTATTAACAATAAGTGGGTAAAAACATTCTTTATTTTTTAGAATGAGTAGTTTTCTTAAGAAGTACACAAAAGTTAAAAACACCACTTATTTAAAAACATAGAGAATGTTTCATAAAATTGAAAAAAATATATATATTTAAAACACTCCTAAACTTGGCATAAATTATTAGTTAGGTACTCGAATTATTAACGGGCTTAAAAACACTCATCTACTTGACTAACTAAATTAGATACACCCTCGATCTATCACTTGACATAGTAAATAGTTTTAAACTTTTGTGGAGGCATGAAACTCTGAATAAAAAGTCAAGGGAAATATTGATAACATCACTAAACTTAGTAAGAATTCATGGATGTATTTCATTCATGTTGCATGATCGAAATGTATTTAAGTTCAGTCAGTGAAGTAAAAAAATGTTTTTACGGCGGTTAATAATTCATGAATGAAACTAATAATTCGCATCAAATTTAGAGTGTTTTCGGTACTTCTTTCGTACATATAAATTACAAAACACTCTTTTAACACATTTGTATGTTATTCAGGTGATTGTGGCCGGAAAGAGAGAAAACTCCGGCGACTCTGTAAACCCTTTTACACCAAAAGCTTATTCAATTCGTTACTGGAACAAACGAATTTCAAATAAATTACCAAAACCTTGGTTTCTTCTAAACAAAGCTTCACCATTAAATGCTGCACAATTTGCAAAATACTCAAAGCTAGCAACAGGGGATCAAAAATCTCTGTCAAATGAAATTCAATCATTTTGCTCCTCTGCAAATCTGCTCTGTTTTCCTGATATTTCAACAAGTTTAGACAAACATGGCCAAGATACGCAATTTTCTTCATATATGAGCAAGAATTTCACCAATTATGGCAACAAATTGCCTGGTGGTTTTGATAGTTTCAAAATATATGCTGAAAATGATAACCTTCCTGTGAATTCTTTCCGGCAATATAGCCGCGGTGGCGCTGGCCATGATGATAGATTTTCTACTTACGCACCGAACGGGAATGTGATTGATCAAAGCTTCAACACTTATGGCACAGGTCAGTCAGAGTTAGAAATTTAAATTTGACGGGTTTAATCTTTATATATTATTGTTATTTGAGTGATTATGGTGTCAAATAAGCGAGTTAGAACAAATTTGGACGGGTCAAATGAGTTAATAAATGGATGGCTATTGATATAACCAAAAGTGTCATAAGCCAATTGCATAATTATTATTATGAAGTTTAATTAATTTATTTTAACTTTATAAGTATCTAATAAAATTATTCTTTCATAATGTGTCGAATAAAAAATACTATCTTTTTCAAATATTTTCATAAGATTTTTTATAAGAATATTTGAATTACATATCAACTTAATATTTGATAGACTAAAGTAATAAATAAGCGGATTCATTAGTATGTTATTGGTCCAATGGCTTAAAAGGACTCTTGGGAAGGGTTCAAATCCCTTTGGTCACCACTCACCATGTAGTTCTTTTTAGTATATTTTTTTTAATTCGAAATGTCTCTAACTCACAAATTTCAAATTCTGAATCCATCTCTGCTTCGCAGGCCTAGCTGCTTTTGGCGTTGGCCAGTTCAAGATCTATGGGCCCAACGTCAACGTACCTAATCTACGATTCACAACTTACTCAACCGAGGGAGTTGGTAGAAAGCAATCTTTTATGAGCTACTCGAAAGATACAAATTCAGGGAGCCAATCTTTCACAAGCTACGCAAGAAATGCTAATGGAGCAGCCAACGACTTCACCAGTTACGCTAATAACTCCAACGTAATAGGCTCAACATTTACCAACTATGGTGAATCAGAAAATGGTGGAGGCAACATGTTCAATTCGTATGGATCTAATGCAAATGTCCCAAAAAATACCTTCAAGAGTTATGGTTTATCAGGTAATGCTCCTTTCGAAACGTTTATAAATTATCGAGATAAATCTAACGTTGGAGAAGATAATTTTGTATCGTACGTGGATGATCCGAATAGTGGTAGAGCACATTTTCAGAATTATGGTCAGTCATTTGGTGAAGGATCCGATGGATTTAGTAAATATGGTTCTAAAATTACTGATGCACAAACTATTGGATTTGAGACTTATGGTGTCAACTCAACTTTTAATGAGTATGGAAAATCAATTCCAACATTTACTGATTACAAAAATAAAACAATTAATCAGATTTCATCTTTTTTGATGGGTAAAAATAACAAATGGATGGTTGAGCCAGGCAAATTTTTTAGAGAAAAAATGTTGAAAATTGGAACTATAATGCCAATGCCTGATATTCAAGACAAAATGCCAAAAAGATCTTTTTTGCCTAGAGTGATCGCATCGAAATTACCATTTTCTACTTCGAAAATCGGTAATTTAAAGAAAATTTTCCACGCGGGAAATGATTCTCAGATGGGGAAGATGATCGACGATGCATTGATCGAGTGTGAAAGATCCCCGAGTGCTGGTGAAACAAAGAGGTGTGTCAGCTCAATTGAGGACATGATTGACTTTTCTACCTCGGTGTTAGGTCAAAATATCATCGTTCGGACAACTGAGAATATAAAAGGGTCAAAGGGAGATATTTTGATTGGATCAGTCAAAGGAATCAACGGTGGGAAAGTAACGAAATCGGTATCTTGTCATCAAAGTTTGTTTCCGTATTTAGTTTATTATTGTCATTCGGTTCCAAAGGTTCGGGTTTATGAAGCGGATATATTGGATCCGAATTCCAAGGCTAAGATTAATCATGGTGTTGCCATTTGTCATGTGGATACGTCGACATGGGGAGAGAATCATGGAGCTTTTATGGCACTCGGGTCGGGACCCGGAAAGATTGAGGTTTGTCATTGGATCTTTGAAAATGATATGACTTGGACAATTGCTGATTGAAATGGATCTTCCAACATTCTTATTCGGGTCGGATCAATTCTGGTTCTTGTTCAGATTATCATTGCCCAATTTTAATGCATTTTGAGCTCTCTTTTTTATTTATTAGACTTGTAATGAACTTATTTTAATTACTACTATGGTAATTACCAAGGCCGGTTTGTTTATTATAATATAATTATAGTAATATATATATAGTCAAATCTTTATATATATATATATATATATATTGACATTTGACGATTAGATATCATATTAAGTTGTTACAAACAAAAATATGCAAAATTAAGAAGAGTATGAATATAAAAAAGATAAACATCTATAGTGTTTGTCGTAATACATAAACATGACCCTTAACTTGACGTCAGCTGACAACTATGACCTTTAATTTTGAATTTGCACAAGTAGACACTTAAACTTGTATAAAATTGAACAAATAGACACATCCGTCCTACATGTCACATTGGCACCCTACATGGAAATTTTGTGTCCTACGTGGCGTCCTACGTAGGACACGTGTGTCTACTTATTCAATTTTATACAAGTTTAAGTGTCTACTTGTGCATACTCAAAGTTGGAGGGCATAGTTGTCCGCTGAAGCCAAATTAAGGGTCATGGTTATGTATTATGTCATAATTTTTCTTCGTGAAATTATGACCATAACTGATGGAAATCATTCAAATAGATTTTTTTAGATATTTGTATTTAAAATTTATTATGTGCATGACATTAATGATGATTATCATACATATTCAAATATTTTATTTTATACATAGTATATTTCTTACAAAATATTAAGTATTACTGTTACACAATATTTGAGTACGGTTATGTAGAGGGACCATCTTATAAATAATGTACAACTACAAAGAATGTCATTGTTATTATAGGTAGAACCAGCGCGGACCCACCCTACACCTCTTTGCCGGAAAATTTCATTGTATATAGAAGTAAAATTTTAATTTAATAAATATATATAAAAGTATTAACACTTTTTGACACAAGTGAAATGTTTAATCTAGTAATTAAGAAGATGTTAAAGTTACTTAAGGTTGTGTGCTTAGCCTTGTTGGCCTCATAATTAGAGTATTATTTTTATTTTTCTTACAACAACCATTGACACCCGCTCATCAAATGACATATAAAAAATTGGCTCTGGAGAAAATCGTTCAGTTATAATGAAATGTCGTTATGATAAATGATTGATATATCGATGTTAAATATAATTACAAATGTAATGTTTGATTGCACAAGGTAATTACATAGTCAAATCAAAAGTGCTCATTTATAAAAACTTAAAAGGACTAAAATAACTCAGATGATATTTAAAGGGACCATTTTAAATTCATTACCAAAGATAAGGACCATTTTTGTCATTTTCTCTCTCAACTTCTAAAGATTATGTAGCAAGTGTTAGGTGGTCCTTACTACATTAGTACATTATATTCACATTGGACAAGTCATGGTCCAGCTTTTGTGGGCCAATAGCTATTTAAAAAATTATTTTGTATTAACTTCAAGTAGTTTATGAATAATTATGTAAGCTTTATTTTATAATTGAAGCTGAAGTTCGATTTGACAATATTAAGAAATATATATTGAGCATACTCTATGAAGCAATAATTCAATTCATGTGAGACGTTATGACAATTGCTATGTTCAAGGTTTGGTATTTAGAATAAAACGGATGGTCCAACTCTATTAAGTATTAATATATATATCATGTGAAGAAATTGAAATTCGAACCTAATTAAACTCTCGAACTAACTAATTCATAAGATGAAGATTGTTTAAAATCTTATTAGAAGAGAATAACACATTGAAGGTATTGGATAGTATAAACAAATAAAGGAACAATTCATCGGAAGGATATACTTTAAGCGACACCAATTTCCTCTCTAGTAGTCTATCTACCGGAAAACTTATCTATGGATTAAAAAAAATGCATGAAGAAATCAATATCTAACAATGTGGACAATTAGTGGCGGAGCCACATGTACTTGAGGGGTGTCAATCGATTATTCTTTTGTTGAAAAATTATATTGTGTCGTTTGGTAAAGATATCTTTTTTATTTTATATATTACATGTATACTGATACCTCTTAACTTCTTAGTGAATTTAGTACTTCCTTATATTTTGACATTTCTTAATAAAAATTATAGTAGCTCCATCGTTGTGAACAATGTAATACTTATAAAAGTATAATACTACATGTTCCTTGTATTTTGGTGCATTATTCTTTTTGAAATGTAGTTTCTATTTTATAACTATTGTGACATAATACAAGTAATACTATAGTCCAAAATTGTACCAGTATAATATTTTTATGGTGGTGAATGTGTTTGGTTAAAGAGGTAAATGCATGATTGGTTAATGAGGATAACTTGTCTTCTTTTTCTTGTTTTCTTGTATTCTTTTTATTGTTTTAGTCCCCTTGATGTGACTATTAGGTATTCAAATCATGTGATTCAGGGTGTTTTGATCGGCTTAAAAGTAGGTCAAATCTACTTTTAGTCAGATTTTTACTTCTGGAAATGTTTGACAAATATAAACAATAACTTCAAATAAGTTAAGAAGTCTTTGACAAAATAAAAAATGACTTAAATTAAGTTTAAAATAACTTAAGAAGTGTTTCATACCAATTCTTATTCTAGTTCATTTATCCTAGTTACCCGTTCTAATTCCGTATCAAGATCACGACTAATGTTTTCACTAGCCTCAAAAACCATCACTAGTCAATTCTAGTGTATGTTGAGCATACTCAGTCTTATTAAAAGTAAATTTATAAGATATAATTAGTATCGTGTATAGTCTAGGATTATATAAAGAAATATATAATTCAATTCATATGAGACATTATGGCAATCTCTACGCTCAGGATTATGTTGGATATTAAGAACAAAAATGATGGTTCGACTATATTAACATATATATCATGAGAAGAAATTGAAATTTAGACATAATATAAACTCTAAAACTAATTGATGAGATGAAGATTGTTTAAAATCTTATAAAAGATAGCAACATAAACACTTTTTGACACATCGAAAGTATTAAAGATAAACAAAGAAACAATTAATTGAAAAAATATACTTAAGGGGCACAAATTTTCCCTCACAATGCTCTAGCTATAGGAAATCGATCAATGGATAAAAAAAAATGCATGAAGGAAGAAATCAAAATCTAACAATGTGGACAATGAAATACACATAAAAATATCGAATATACTTCATGTCCCTTGTAATTTGGCCCATTATTCTTTTTGAAATATAGTTTCTATTTTATAACTATTGTGGAATAATCCAAGTAATACTATATTCCAAAACTGTCCTAGTATAACAGTATTTTATGGTGGTGAATGTGTTTGGTTAGAGATAAAAAAGCATGATTGGTTAATGTGGATAACTTGTCTTCTTTTTCTTGTTTTAGCCTTGATGTGACTAATAGGGATTCAAATCATGTGATTCAGTTTGGCTTGTTTGGTCGGGGAATAAGTTATTTCACTTTCATTGTGGGATAAAAATAATATTATAATTCTTGGATAATTAATTTCTAAATAAAATTTTATAATTTATTCTAATCAAATATAAAATAAATTCATTATATAACTAATTTCAGAATTAGTTATCATTTATCCCTCATGTCAAACTAATACTTTGCTAACAAAAAGATGCATACCATAAATTAAGTATATATGTCATTTGTGCCTCAATATTGAAAAATTGAATCAAACACATCATTTGTGGACTTTTTTTCCCCTTAAAAAGCTTATTTTAAACAACATAATTTTTCAAACATTATATTCCTCGATCTCTCACCAATCTTCTCATCTAGAATCTATAAGAAATCAAGTGCTCACTTATGTTCTTTAATTTATACATAAACTATCATTTATAAAAATATTCTAAAATATTGGGGTTGGGAGTATTATAGTGAGAGGTCAAAGTTGAAGCCAAAATGTTTTCTTCCATCCTACCTACTCCCTATGTCCCTAATTATTTCTTCCGTTTTTTTTAGTTGTTCTTAATTATTTATCCATTTTGACAAATCAAGAAAAGATAACTTTTTTTTACCTATTATATTCTCAATTAATTACTTTGAAAAAGGTAGAACTTGTTAAAAATCGTAAGTTTTTAATGCATCTACTTCATAATTAATAGGGGTAAAATAGTAAACTTACTATGTCAATAATTATTTTCTTAATAGGTGCGTCAATTCAAAAGTGGACAAGTAATTAGGGACACGAGGAGTATATATTAGGAAAGTCAACAAACTTGTGTTTTTCTTCTTTGAAATTCTTGTCTCTTTCACACTTCTTGTTTCTTATCTTTCAATCAGAACTAACCATTTAGGGGTCGTTTGGTAGGGAGTATTAGGAGAAATAATCTAAGTATTATATGTTGTATTATTTAGTACTATGTTTGATAGGAATTTTGGATCTATGTATAATCAATCCATGATTAGTTATACACCCTACATGGTATTATAGGGTGTATAACTAATACCTTCCATTTGGTGATATTAGTTCTAATACTATGGGACTAATCTAGGTAAAGACAAAAATACCCCCTCAAATCCTTTTAATCATTTTGTTTAATTTCTTGTTTTTATGTTTTATATTTATATTAATAAATTTATTTAAATAAATTAGCTTACAAATTTTATTATTTAGATATAATTTTTTGTTTCTAAAATATGAGTTATTTAATCTATTTATTATTAATATAAATATTATAATCCGACTAATATGCTAATGTTGATGTATGAATTTAAGAACAATTCATAAGTCAAATATTGCCTCTTAACGGAAGTCCATTAAACATTACACAAGTAGTCTAATACAAGAGCATATATATATATAAAACATCTCGAGTATAAAAATAGTTTAATTTATTTTGCTATATTTTTTTTTTAATTTATTGATACAAAACAAAGTTCAATAAATTTTCTCTATAAATTATTGTAGTTGTGTGACCTTTTGAGATATCAACTCCAATTTATTAA